ATCGAAATCGAATTATACAAAAAATTGGAATTTTTTATTCGATTTGATTTTACGGTTTTTAACTGTTGATCATTTTCCAAATTCAACATAAAAAAATTAAGCTTCAAGTTTAAATCGAGTGCAAATTAACAAGTTTAAATTCATAAAAATATTATTAGTTTAAGAAATTCATTTATTTAAATTTGTCTTATAATGCACGAATCAAATGATTTTAATGGTTAAGAGATTCTTATTATCAAATAATAGAAATTGAATGTATTTAAATATATACTATTCACCCCAAAAAATTTAAAGAAATTGTATTTTAATAAATTTAAAATAAATTTAATTTGAATTATTATTTTTTAATTATATTTTATTTAGAATAAACGAGTTTTATATTAAAAAAAAACTTAAATTAAACCACATATTATAATTCGGATCAATTTTTTTGATTTACTTGAAGAGCTCTATCTTGCTTGTTGTCAAGTGTCCTTCACATGATGGTGCAATTACATGTTCATTTTACACCCGGCCCCATTTTTTGGGCTGAATCCAAACATAGATTAAAAAATTCATATGGCTACTTCTTTGATACGACAATTTAATTTAAGGTTAAAGAACGGAGTAAAGTGAGAGTAACCGAATATATATATAAATTACATTTTTGATTAGACATAACCTAAAATATTAATTTTTTTCTAACATTTTCAGTTAACAATCGAAAATATTACGAAGAAAATAACATTTTTAGTTCAAACAAAAATGTTAAATATCGATTTGAAAATATTATACAATGCAGCACAGAATATTGTAGAATGGATAGTAAATAAAATATAATATTTATTTAAAGATAATTTTTATTTATTTGATATTGAATGTTCACGTACTTTATATTTATAGTACTCGAATCCAAAACCAACAATTTATTTATCAAAAAACATAATTTAAATTTAATATTTAATTTTTAATCAATTAATTAAACGACACATTAATTCAAGTAACACAAATCCAAAAGCGTTCCAACTCATAAAGCAATACACTCAAAAGAAAATCGTAATAATTTAGATTTTTATATTTTGTCCCGTACTATACTGAATAATTTAAAGGTTTAATGATATTTTGAGTATTTAAAGTTTATTTGTCCTTTTTAGTTATCTATTTTTTAATGGAAGATTGCATAAATTAATCATAATAGTGTCATTAATTACAGAGTCCGAAAGAAATATGGGCATTCAACATTAGAAGAAATCGAACTATTATTAGAAGTAGCCTATTGAACAAGAGAATGAGTCGAGCCATTTGCTTAACGAAATGTATATTTAAAATATAAAATAAAACGATTATTAGTGAATAATAAGATATATTTTTTTAAGCCATTTATAGTCTTGGGAGTTGGTAGAGCACAATGTTCTTAATCTTGAGGTCATGGGATCGAGTCCCATGAAGGGCATTTCATAATTCGGATGGCTCCTACGGAAGCTGCTTTCCCCCTAGTGTTGGGGGCAGCCTACTATCTTACCTCCCCCTTACCTCATTACATATGGGAACAAGGGACAAAAAAAAAATAGTCTTGGGAGTTAGGACCATTATTGGGAAGGCGCAATGACCCTCCATTCTATATATTGGTATTGGAGAGGTGATGGTGATATATTCAGTCTAATTTAATTTTTTCATAAATATTAAGATTTGAGTTTTTAATTTTACTAAAGTGATTTAGTATTTAAACTTATGAAATACTTTTTCAATCTATTTCTTTTTAAATATTATAAATAAATTAGTAATTACTCGAGAATGTTTTAAAAATATTATAATAAGAAATTTAATATTTTATAGTAAATTATTATATTAAAAAAATCTTTATATTGTCGTAAAAATTTTGTAATCCTTGAAAATAATTACATACAAAAATTCATATTGAGTGACTTCTGTAATTAAAAAAATATTGTTCTTCAGTGAGATCAGTTGATGATTTTATCGTTTATCTTTAAAATCGATCCCCACCAGCTTCAAAGTGCTCTAAAGAATTTTTCATTCCAAACATGAAGTGGGACATCTTTTGATAGAACCCGTAGCTTAATCTAACGTTTACCGTCATATCCTCTAATTAGGGCTGTAAATGAGACGAGACAGATCGCGAGCTACTCGAGATCGATTCGGTCAAGGCTCAATAAATAATCGGATCGAATGGACTCGACTCGAGCTCGAGCTCGACTCGAATTCTTAACGAGCCGAAACGAGCTACTTGATACTCGACTCGAAAACTCATGAGCAGCTCGAAAATATAATATACTAATATTTTATTTTTAAAAAAAATAAATTATTAATAATATTAACATTTATGTGTTGATTTTTTTAAAAAATAGAGTAAGACTTTCATGTATTTAAGATTCAGGTTCGAGTTTGAGGCTTCATTCAATCTAGTTAAGTTTAAGATTTTTTTTTCATTTCGAGCTTTTTCGAGCTGTTCAAGAGCTTCAGTTTAGGATTTCGAGTTCGAATCGAGCTTAAAAATTTTAAACTATCGAGTTTTCGAGTCGAGTTAAGTCGAGCTCAGCAATACTCGAGTTCAACTTGACTCGTTTACACCCCTACCTCTAATAACTCAAGCTCATCAAACCAGAGACGTAGCATTTCATCTCTTCTGTTCCAGCAACGTGTTAACTCGTCTTTGGAAGAAAATTGTAACACTGATGGTCCATCAGTCTCCCATCTCCCATTTCTATTGCACCATTAGCTACAATCGATTTCTTAAATCTCACGAAGGCAAAGGTTGTCTTTTTCCAGACCTTTTTGGATTATTGCATGCCATGAAAACATCTAACACTTCGTCATAGACGGAGAAAGCTTCCTTCAGTGTTGAATGAATGATCCTCTTACTGATATTGTCCACTAAAACAGGATGGTCCTGGGACTTCCGATCAACCGGCCATGTTTGCCGAGACTGAGACCACCATTGCACTTGCACCGGAGCCTTTGTTTGTGCCACGACCCTTCGCCTCCCCATTTCTAGCTAACATATATGTTTTATGAAAAATTGAAGTATTTTAATCTTCAATAACAAAATCGATATACACGTTAAAATTTATGAAAAATAAATGAGCATATCATCGTACCGTCAACGACTAAACGATTTAGTACCCTAATTAGACTCAAAACTAAAATTTAAATAGTTTAAAGAGTTAAATGACAAATTATTCACAACTTAAAATTCACTTATATTTAATGTAGTTTAGCTTTTACTTTATAATAATTAGGACTGTAAATTGAACCGAACGTTCAACAAACTGTTTATGAACCGTTTGACAGGAAGTTCGTTTATGTTCCTTTATTTATTAAACGAACGAATATGAATAATATTTTATGTTCGTTTAACTGAATGAACGAACATGAACAAATGTCTTGTTTGTTCATTTACGTTCGTGAACGTTTAATAATTCATTTGTTTATGTTCATTCATTTATGTTCGTTCATTTATATTCAGCCCAATCTCCATAACCATTTAAAATATTAAGATCGAATCATTTATATTTAAAACCCAAATAAATTTAAACTCAAATCAATAAAAGAAAATAGAAACCATACCCATTTAAAACCCAAATAATTTTAATTCTGATGTTGTAAGTTATATTAATGAATAAAAAATTTTTGTGTGGTTATTGTTGTTGTTTATGTTTGTTTACGTTCATTTATTATGTTCGATTTTGTTCATTTGTTATGTTTGTGCAAATTCGTTTATGTTCATTTATTGTTTTCGTTTCCGTTCATTCTTTTGTGTTCGTTTATCATTTAAATGAACGAACACGAACAATCTACATTTCTTAACGAACGAACACGAATGTAAATTTTTTTGTTCGTTCATTTGTTCGATTAAAGTTAAATGAACGAATATGAACATACCCCGTTCGTATTCGTTCAATTCTTCTACGGGACTAATAATAATAAGTATATTTTCCTGATTTTATTATAATTATATGACTAATTAAACTAAACAATAAACAAAATACTATGCTTTACATTATTAAAAAAATACAATGTATAAAACCAGCAATATTATATCATTAAAATACACAAAAAATAGATTATTTAATACACATTTATAAGAGTGTTCAAACGGTTAATTCGGTTACCGACCGAACCGAATTTTCATTAATTGAATTAATCAAATTTTTTTAACAGTTAACCGAACCGAACAAAGTTCGGTTATTTCAGTCGGTTAATCGAATTAACCAATTTTTTTTATAATCTATTTAATTAGATTAATTTGAATATAATAACAATATTTTTTATTTGGGTTAAAATTTTAATTATGTATGATAATTTAATGAATTTAGTGTGGTTAAAAAATAATTGAGTCTTAATTCTTAATGAGTTTGAGTTTAAATTATATATTTAATATATATAATATTTAATAATTTCAATTAATTCGGCAAACCGAATTAAACATTAACCGATGATTAAAAAATATGTTAACCGTTTCTTGACCGAATTAATTTGATGCCCGATCAAATTAATCGAACTAATTCAATTCGATCGATTAATTCGATTAAAACCAAAAAAAATGAACACCCTACACATTTACATTAACATTCTTATCATAATTGGAATCAATCAGTGCCTAGTTGTGGTAAGAGACTTCATATTTAGTTAAATGCTCATGTTTCGTTAAAAGTCGATTAAAATTATTATTTTTTGTTTTGTTGTATACATTGTGGCCAACATATTAGGTTAAATGAACACGTCAATCAGAGAAGGCCCCTCATTCATTAGGGTTCATTTTTCACGTGCTGTGTTTCAGAGATAAGCTTAAGATATCTCTTCATTGATTCGTCACTATCACAATAATAAACAAAACGTACAATCAAAAGAAGAAGAAGATGAAATCAAGATCCCCATGAAATAATTGTGATAAAGAAATAAACAAATAATTGTATATGCATGACCTGCTTCTCCATCTATATATAAAACGGCACCGATTAGGGTTTCTGCAACTACAACCTTAGATTCATCTATCTGGATCTCTCGAATCTCCGGAAATGTTGAAGACACACGTTCACCATCCCACCACTAACAAATCCCTGCCATTGCATAAGCCATTCCTACATGGGACTACCTTTGCTTTTCCCCCTTTGAACCAGTACAAGCCTTCTTCTTCTTCTTCTTCTTCTTCTTCGTTGAGGAAGAAAGGCAAAGGTTTTAAAGCAAGGTTTGTTCCCAACAAAATCAAAGCGTCGGTAGAGAGTTCCGCTGTTACTGAGGCCGTAGATGCTCCTTCCGCCGCCGTGAAAGCTTCCGTGTCAGTTAGACAAACCGTCGGTGGTCTCATAACAAACTTAGGGTTCCAAAGAGGGCTAGATGATATACAGGATTTGCTCGGTAAATCACTTCTCTTGGAGCTCGTTAGTGCCGAGCTTGACCCCAGTAAGTAATGAGCATAATTTCACAGTTTTTTTTTACTTTACAGATTAATATTTATATATATTTGACCTAAAAGTAACTATAATTTTGGAGCTGGACAACCATACGGGATTGTTTTATCATATTTCGTTATATTTATATAAAATATATTTAAAAAATAAATTTACAAATGATTGTATACATAGCGACAAAAAGGAATGCCTAAATATTCATCGGTCATATGTTCTATTTTAAGCGATGATAAATGAATTATCGTTATTTTTAAAAATTTAAGTTTAAGTGCGGTGAACACTGTGATTGTAAATGTCTAATGTCAAATGATTAAAAATTATTTTTATTAATAAAAAATAATTTTAATTATTTTGTTCAACAATTATAGTTATATAAAAATATTTAAAATATTTTTATGATAATATTTATTAAATTTTATAATACAATTTAATTATTCATCAGTTAAATTTATATTGAATTCGTTTTTATAATAAATTTAATTAGCAATTGATACTAGTATAAAAAACATAAGATGTCTTGTTAGGACATAAACTGATAAGATGCCTTGAGAAACGGACACTTAATCCTTTTTCTCTCCTTTTGCCCTAAAACTAGAGAAGTCTAGTTCGAGTAATGTTGAGCTTGACTCGACTCGAAAAATGTAAAATTTAATTCGATTCAATTAAAAAACTTACGAGTTTAAAATTTTCAAGCTCAACTCAAACTCGAAAAACTTTAACTTATAATATGCTCAGTCTTAGCTTGACTGAAGCTCAAAGTTCGAATCTGAACCTTAAGTATATGGAAGTCTATATTGTATTTTTTTAAATAAGAACAACATATAAATTTTAATATTATTAATAATTTAATTTAAAAATCTAAAAATTTAATATATTATTTTTTGAGTCAATTATTAAGTAGTTTTTTTGTTCATTAAGAATTTGAGTCGAGTTCGAGCTTTGAGTTAAATTGATTCAATTTGAGAATTGACCAAATTTTGAAAGTCATCTCGAATAACTCGTAATCTGTGTCATATTATTTTAACCCTACCTAAAACGTTTGGATAAATGAAGAAACGATAGAAGATGAAGAGAGAATTTTTTTTTAAAAAAACGTCTCAAATAATTTTAATATTACCTTAGTTTTTTTAATAAAATTATTATAGATATAATGTCATAAAATTATATAATTCTTTTGTGAGTTGATGTATTTTCTATACATTTTGACATCTATTTCGTGATTATTTATTTATCCGTGTCTCATTTTATTATTTTTATATTATGATTGTGCTATATATCTATTGATTTAATATTTTTATTATTTGATTAATCAATTTTTTGTGTATAGTTGTGGTTTATACTGATTTTATCTTAAATTATTTGTTATAATGATTAAATATCGAAAAAGTACGATTGTGTTATACAACTTATTTCATATTTTATGTTGTTTATTATAGTTAATGTGAAGTATAAAATAACAGAATTAGTTCAAGTGATAAGTAGTTTGATTCTGTTTAAGCAGATCTCGAGTTTGAGTCATGTGAATACAAAAAATCCCCGCTGGGAGATACACCTACCAAAGCTAAGTGTGCGACCCAGATAGATCCGTTTTAATCAAAATAAAACCTTAAAAACCGAAAAGACGACAAAAAAAAATACTAAGAATGGACATAAAATTTTATATAAATGTATATAATAAACCATTAATTATAATTATAAATATATATATATATATTTAAATGATACAAAACTTTATAATTTTCAAGAGAGATGGTCCATACCCTTTCAATCATTTCATAATTTTCAAAAAGAAAATAGTATCATTTGATAACTATCAAGAAAAAAATGATAAAAAGACAGAAGTTTTGAAGAGGACAGTTGATTTGATTAATTATTTTTTTGTATAGTTGTGATTTATACTGATTTTATCTTAAATTAGTTTTTACAATGATTAATTATTGAAAAAGTATGATTGTATTATACAACTTATTTCATATTTTATGTTGTTTATTATTATGAAGGATATAATTAACGAGGTTGATTTAAGTGATAAGTACATTGATTTCGTTTAAATATGTCTCGAGTTTTAGTAATTGTGAATACAAAAAATTTTCGTTGGGAAACTCACCTATCAAAATTAAATGTGCGACCTAGGTAGGTCTGCTTTAGTCAAAACAATAAAAAAATTAACTGACCCTATTCTCATATATAATGAGATAAGAGGAGATAGAATAGTAGGTTGTTCCCACCGTCAGATTGAGAGCAGTTTCCGTGGGAGACCTCCGACAGTCAGAATTATGAATTGTCCACCGTGATATTCAATCTCACGACCACAAGGTTAAGAATCTTACGCTCTTACCAACTGAGACAAACTTTAGAATTTTCAAGAGAGATGGGGTTCATACTCTTTCAATCCTTTGATAATTTTCAAAAAGAAAATGGTATCATTTGATAACTAGCAAGAAAAAAATGATAACAAGACGAAGAAGTTTTGAAGAGGACAGTTGAGTTGATTAATTACCGAAGCTAACGTGGCTGCTCACCGCTGGAATTTGCGCATGCAGAAACGGGACAAGAGAAGCAGACAATCAAAGCTTACGCACATCTAGTGAAACAACACGACGAAGATGTGACGTACGAGGCGGATTTCACGGTTGGTCCCGACTTTGGAGAATTAGGCGCCGTCGTGGTGGAGAACGAGCATCACAGAGAGATGTTCTTGACGGATATCGTGCTCGACGGCTTCCAAGACTCCGATCCTATTACCGTCAGCTGTAACTCTTGGATTCACTCCAAGTTCGACAATCCCCAAAAGCGAGTCTTTTTCACTCACAAGGTTACAATTTCTTCTACGTTCGTCCTTTCTCCTTTTAAATCATTCTATTTGTTATTTAGGGTAAAATACACAAATGGTCCCCGACTATGGAATAGTATTTAATTAAGTCTCTCACCTATTAAAAATTACAAAATAGTTCCTCAACTATTTAGAGTTATTTTATTGAGTCCCTCGACTATTAAAAGTTACAAAATGATCCCTCAACTATAGGGAGTTACTTTGTTGAGTCTCGACTTTTAAAAGTTACAAAATGGTCACTCGACTATTCATTATGCTTTAAACTCGTCATTTTCTGTTAAAAATTAACGATCATATGAGTTTGACATTAACATGTTGGCTGAGATATGATAGTCATTGAGATCAGATTTTATCATATCTCAGTAAACATGTTAACGTACAACTTAGACTACTGTTAAATTTTTAACGAAAAAGGACGAGTTTGAAACATAATGAATAGTTAGTTGACCATTTTATAAATTTTAATAGACAATGGACTCAACAAAGTAACTCCCTAAAGTCGATGGATCATTTTGTAATTTTTAATAGTTAAGAGGTTCAATAAAACATGATCCTATAAATGGGGGACCATTTATATACTTTACCCTATTATTTATTATAATAAACAAAATACTAACATGACCACAAAAATCAAAATAGGAATGTGCTCCATTAAAATCACTAGATTCTGTAGCTAGAATGGTCCCCGTAAGGATTTAGACACTACACCGCATGTCACTGGCGAAGGCCAATAACATAGTAATCGCTTGATTTGCTGTTGTTGTTTATATATTTTGGCATAATAATACAGTCGTACTTGCCGTCACAAACACCGAGCGGATTGAACCGACTGAGGATCGAAGAGCTGGAGGCATTGAGAGGGAACGGCATGGGACAGCGCAAGTCATTTGAGAGGATATACGATTATGATGTTTACAACGATCTCGGCGACCCCGATTCTGATCCGAATAAAAAGAGACCCGTGCTCGGCGGTAATAAAGAATTACCTTATCCTAGACGGTGTCGGACTGGTCGTCCCCGCTGCAAAACAGGTAATTTAATCGACTATCGAATTTATGGTTCGTAAGCTTTGTAAATAAAATTAATTTATGATTATCACAATAAACTATCAATTTTATCATGATTGTAGCGTTCATTATCCAAAGGTTGTGAAACCCGTGCCAATTCAATAGCATCATCTTATCACTTTAATTATGAGATAAAATAAGTGATACTAAATTAAAATAAAAAAAGTTATCATTTAAGGTTAAATATGAATCAGAACAAAATACAGGGATTCTGTTGAAAAAGTATTAAATTTAAGCACTAATATGGATTAAAATAAAATTTAAGAATTAGACTAAAAACATTAAATTTAAAGAAAAATTGTATTTTCTTAATTATTCTATTTATTTATGCTAGTATAGACTAGGGATTGGCATGGGACTCGACCCGACCCGATTGGGTAGGGTTTTTTAAAAAAAAGTTCGAGTTTGAATTTAGGGTGAAAAATATCCGATCCGACCCGACAAAAAAAAAATATATAATTTTATCTTATATATTTAGAAATAATTATAATAATATCTCTCTATATATTATTATATTTTTTAATTAAGTCATTATTTTTATTAAATAAAAATAATATTTTTTATTATTTCTGGTCAAGTCGGGTCGGATTAAATCTTTATTTTGGTCGGGTCAGGTAAGATCTCGGGAGGAGGACTCTTTGTTCTCAGGTTGGGTCGGGTGGACCAAAAACCCGACCCGACCAGACCCGACCCATTCCCATTATAGACTAATACTGCTATTTACTTATGACATCACGCTTAAATCATTTTATGTGACATTAAACTTTACATCACGTGCTAATTATTTTCTTAAAAGTTTCGTGTTAATAAATAACTAAAAATTAATCTACTTGTCTTTAAAAATTAGTTGTTAAAAATGATTTTTTAAATAAAGAAGTTATATAATTATAAAGAGTATTTTTTTAAAAAAATTATTTAATTATATTTAAATTATAAAGAAGTATATAATTATATTTGTAGGTGACATCAAACAATTAATTATTTATAGGATGAAATCATATTATTATCAAAGTAATTAAATAAGTTAATAATTGCAGATCCTGATTCGGAGAAGAAGATCAACATATTTTACGTGCCAAGGGATGAGTGCTTCGCGGAGGTGAAGCAAATGACCTTCTCGGCAAAGACGCTGTACTCGGTGTTTCATGCTGTGGTCCCATCGCTGCAGACGGCGATTGTAGACAAGGAGCTTGAATTTCCGTACTTCACAGCAATCGATCAGTTGTTCAATGAGGGGATTCGCTTGCCTAACATGGACGGAAAAAATTTGTGGAAAACAGTTCTCCCTAGACTACTCAAGGTCATTTCTGACAACAATGCCTTGCGCTTTGAAACGCCGGAGACTATGAATCGTGAGCTCATCTCTCTCACACACAATTTAATTTGCTAATTCCGTTGATTTATTTTAGTTTTGCAGTGATTATTTAGGCAATTGCTAATTATCTTTTTTTTTTTTAATTTTTTGAAGGTGACAAATTTTTCTGGTTTAGGGATGAGGAATTTGCTCGACAGACGCTTGCCGGGATCAACCCATATGCTCTTCGTTTGGTCACGGTGTGATATTTATAAAAATTACTGGAAAAATAGTTTCAAATTCTTCCTAATTTTGGACTGACAGTTCCCCTCCCCCGCCCCACCCAAAAAAAAAACTATAGGAATGGCCATTGAAGAGCAATCTTGATCCTGAAATCTACGGAGATCCGGTATCTGCGATCACCAAAGAGCTGGTGGAGCGTCAAATAGGAGGATACATGACAGTGGAAGAGGTACCAAACTAGTCCATTATCTTCATTCAAAAGTTCACACAGAGAAACGATGTTTTTGAATGAGTTACTATATTGTATTCATGTGTAGGCCTTGAAACAAAAAAAGTTGTTCGTCCTGGATTACCATGACTTGTTACTACCATATGTGAAGAAAGTGAGAGAGCTTCCCGGGACAACATTATATGGGTCGCGATCACTATTTTTCCTAGGTCCTGATGAGACCCTGAGGCCAGTGGCCATCGAGCTAACTCGACCGCCTATGGATGGGAAGCCACAGTGGAGGGATGTACATACGCCGGCTTGGCATAGTTCTGGTGTCTGGCTTTGGAGGCTTGCAAAAGCTCACGTGCTTGCTCATGATTCGGGCTATCATCAGCTTGTTAGTCACTGGTACATATTTCGAAGCCTGAAATAATACAAAGTTTCTTCATAAATCTGTCTGATGAATTCGAGTTACAAGTAACTTTTTGATTTGTACTGCAGGTTAAGAACACACGCTTGTACCGAACCTTATATAATTGCCACTAATCGACAGCTCAGTGAAATGCATCCAATCTACAGATTGCTCCATCCCCATTTCCGTTACACAATGGAAATCAATGCACTAGCTCGAGAGTATCTTATCAGTGCTGATGGGATCATTGAGACCTCCTTCAGCCCTGGCAAGTACTCTATCGAGCTTAGTTCTGTTGCTTATGACCTTCAATGGCGATTTGATCATCAAGCGTTACCTGCAGACTTGATTAGCAGGTATTGTCGTTGGTTTTCAAGATAAATATTCTTTGAAATTTTCGTAAATTAAATATTCACAATTTTCTTCCTTCCTAGGGGGTTGGCTGTTGAAGATCCTGAAGCTCCTCATGGCCTGAGGTTAGCGATCAAGGATTACCCTCTTGCCAACGATGGACTTGCACTCTGGGATATTCTCAAAGAATGGTTTTCTGATTATGTGAACCATTACTATCCGGATGCATGTATAGTGGAGTCGGACGAAGAACTTCAAGCATGGTGGACAGAAATTCGTGAGGTCGGGCACGGTGACAAGAAAGATGAACCATGGTGGCCTGTCCTCAAAACACCAGAAGACTTGATCCAGATCGTTACAACCATCGCTTGGGTAACCTCGGGTCATCATGCATCCGTCAACTTTGGACAATATACATATGCCGGTTACTTCCCCAATAGGCCAACAATTGCTCGAAAGAATATGCCAACCGAAGACGCAACCGAAAAAGACTGGGAACTCTTCATGAAGAAACCTGAAGCTTTACTCCTAAAGTGCTTCCCTTCACAGATTCAAGCTGCTACAGTGATGGCAATTTTGGATGTGTTATCGAATCATTCTCCAGATGAGGAGTACTTGGGAGAAAAGACGGAGTTGGCTTGGGCTGACAATCCTGTGATCAAAGCAGCATTTGAAAAGTTCAATGGGAGGTTAATGGAGCTTGAAGGAATTATTGATGAAAGGAATGCAAACCAGGATTTGAAGAACAGAAATGGTGCCGGGATTGTGCCATACGAGTTTTTGAAGCCGTTCTCCGAGCCTGGGGTCACTGGGAAGGGAGTCCCATATAGCATCTCCATCTGAGGTTAATATCTCGAATGTTGTATTGTGAGCATTATGGATGTTCATCTGCCTTAAGGGTTATGGAGAAATAAAACGTTTTTACGGCACATGCTTATTTGAATTAACTTTGGCCTTTAGGGAAAAAAAATTAAAGAATGACTTGAGGCTAGTCTTTATTCTTGAGCAACTGGGTTAGGCTTATGGCTAATTTTTCCTGCATCCAAAAAAGAGGGGAACTTACACTTTTCTTATTCCCCAAGAAAGCCGCCGATTTACTCGCAACTAAAGCCGGGTTTCTTGTGGATTTTCTTTTCTTTCACGACCTTTTTACGTTCTCCACAGCCTCCCATTCTCCATCAGCAGCATAAATATTCGAGAGTGTAACGAAACCACCCGGCCTTTTCAGTTCCATTTTAAGAATTTGTTCGCCCATCAGTTTCGCCAAATCTTTTCTCCCATGGACTTTACAACCATTGAAGAAAGCACCAATATCGAGTCCGTAACTCCAAATGGCATTTCCTTCACCGATTCATAAGCTTCTACGATCCTCCCGGCATGACACAACATATCAAGAACACAGGCATAGTGTTCTTTGGCGCCTTCAATACCATATATTTGTTTCATCGATGTAAATATCCTCAAACCTTCCTCGACATAACCGCTGTGGCTGCAGAAAGAACACAAGTCAGAGTCGTATCATTCGCCTGCACCCCTTCTTCCTGCATCCTCTCAAACATCTTTATTGCCGATTCAACCATGCCGTGCTTCCCGTAACATCCAATCAAAGCATTCCATGATGCTGCATTCTTATAAGGAATATTGTGAAAGGCATTCCTAGCATCTCTCACTAGCGATGAACATGTTGACATCTAGTCCCAATCTATAAATCATGCAACGAATCTCCCTACCTATTCGAATGAAACCTGTCAATCCACATGCCGGAAGCAATCCAGTTACGGTCCCATGATTTGGTTTGATACCGGAAACGAACATATATCGAAACAAGTTGAATGCTTCAAAAGGGCAATGCCTTTGAGCAAACCCGGAAATAACAGTGTTCCAAGTAACCAAATCAGGAAGAAAACCTCCTTTAGTCATTCGACCAAAAAGAGCAAATGCAGCACGGATATCTCCCCTCCTAGCAAACGTTGTTATCATCACATTCCATGTAAACTCATTTGGCTGCAACCTTTCCATTTTCATCCTCTCGAACAAACCAAGAGCTTCTTCGTCCTTCCCCACATTGCAATAACCACAAATCATGGGTGTCCAAGAAGCAACATCTCTGTCAAGCATTCTATCGAACACTTTCCTTGCATAACTCACATTCCCACACTAGCAATACATGACTTCCAAACTGTTACCAACATTTACATCAGTTTCCAAACGCAGCTTGTTAACAACAGAATGAGCCTCTTTTCCTTTGTTCAAATCCATGAGCCCAACACAAGCTTTCAAAACAACAGAAAATGTGAACTTATTGCAAAGATTTATAGATTCAGACATCAACGAAAAGTACCCAATTGCCTCTTTAAAGTGACCATTAAAAGCAGAGGCTAAAACCACCCAATTCCCAGCAAAAACATTTGGGATTTTGATTCTTTGGAATATGAAAGTAGAAGATTTCATGTCTCCACAACCGGCGTACATTCCGACAAGCTTTGAACTCAAAGACAAAACTTCCATGTCAGTCCCATTAACCAACAACCGAGCATGAAGTTGCTTGCCTGGCTTTAAGGCTTTGGCTTTCAAACACTTGTTCAATAACAATGCCATGTAGTCTAAAGATAAGGTTTGTCTGGAAAAAGACGTCATTTCCATCATTAACATCAACGCCAACCAAATTGGAGATAGAGAAAAAAGGACGCTTTTTTCATTGTTGTGTAATGTTTTCAATGAGCACCCATAAATTTGTAAGAGCCATTAATCTGTGACAGATTTCTCTTGAAAGATATTCGGGAAGAGAAAGATTGGCAACGGGCGGGAAGGGGTAAATTTTTAGACTCCGATTAGTTGTATACAATTTTGTTTTATTTTGAGGTAAATTACACAAAATATCCCTGAATTTTAGATGATGTATTACCTTTATCATTTAACTTTAAAATATTCTAATTTTTAGTATTAAACTTTAATTTCTAGTTTAATTAGGATGCAAAGTCTTAAAACATCACAACCGTGGTGATATGATTATTTATTAGTGAATTTTAATTTGTTTATTAAATGTATTATTAAATTTTAAAATATTTTAATTTTAAATTTTATTTAAATATCTATATAATTACTCCTTCATTTGCCTCACCTGTAAAAATATTAATATGCAACCTTGATGTTGAATTGCGGCCGTAATTTAATATTATAAATTAAGCACGTTAATCTATGATCTTATAAAATTTGTGGCTTTTTATATGTTTTGAATGATAGGCATGTATATGGACAGTTTTCTTTAAATTTCCAGTTTTTGGAGACAAATTTTGGTAGTTTGGGGACTGAAAGTTCACTTTTGAGAATTGAAGGAGAGGTCGAGTATCTGTTTTCCGGCCTTTCCACATCCTTGTTTGATGACCTATAAAAAAAAGGAAGGAAATCAGTAAATGGTATATTACTTTAACTTTTGGTATTCAAGTACACAAATAGTACTGACTATAAGGTACTACTTTATTTAATACATCAACTACTAAAAAGTTATAAAACAGTCATCCGAATATAAAATGTTAAGTCTCTCGACTATTAAAAGTTACAAAATGGTTACCCGACAATTCATTATGTTTTAAACTAATCATTTTCTGTTAAAATATTGGTGTTTGTCTAAGCTGGACGTGAACATAATAACTGAGATATGATAATTGTTTGAGACTCTAAGATCATATTTTATTATATTACAGTTAGCAAGTTAATGTTCAGTTGAAAATACCGTCAATTATTTAACAGAAAATGACGAGTTTAGAACATAATGAATAGTCGGATGACCATTTTATAACTTTTAGTGGTCGAGGGGCTCAACAAAACAACACTCTATAGCCAAAGGACCATTTTATAACTTGTAATAATCGAGAGATTTAATAAAATAATATCCTATAGTTGAGAGATCAATTGTGTACTTAAACCTAACTAGTACTTAATAAAATTGACCTATTCCAACCTTATTAGAGTGTTCCCCAAAAAAAGTTCACTTTTTTTAAATAAATATGTTCCTAATTTACCCTGGAAAATCTAGATTTTTTTGTTAGACAACCTTAACTTCAACAAAAAAAAATAACAAAGACAACATGCAATTATAACAATCCTTTCATTTATAAAAAAAAAAAAACAACTTCCTGAAACATCATTCTTCAGGATTCATAAACAAGGCAGAGAAATTAATCAAAGCCATTGTTTGAGTTTAGCATTTATTCAAGTATCTGTCGTTTTTGAAGCTTGAGTTAGCTAAATTATAACCTCTGCTGTTTTTGAATCTTAATTTAACTAACTCATAACCTTGGTGAAGCGATATATAATTACTATATGTCTTACCCACTGAATAGATCTTCATCTAGAGACCTTCTGTCAGTAATCTTTCAGCTTGTAGTTCAGCCTTGAGAAGCTAGGGATGCGGCTTCGGAGGTCAGCATATACGCTTCTTAAACTCCTCATCCTAACTTTTCCCTCAATGGAGGAGTCAGATGAGTACCCATCCTCATCCTCATTGTTGGCTTCGTATTTGTATTTCATTACAGGGCTACCATTGGCACAAATACGCCTCGATGATCCTACCTCCATCAGTGGCCTTGCTTTAGTCCTTTCCTTACGACAGCCAATCCTCACCGCAGTTTCAGCTTTCCAATACTTGCTATTTCCTGGAAACATCTCCTTTGCATCAATCCAACAAGAATAAAATAATAGCAGCTTAATAGAACCTATAATCATTAACATTAAACAAGACTTCCAAAGCGACATGCTTTGTGCAACTGATTTTGAGTACCTTGTTTGCATGTATATCAGTTGAAAAAGGATCAATTTAAAACCAAAAAAAAAAGAGAGAGAATCCATGTAGAGTTTCAGTTGGTTGCAGGGTCGAATGTAAAAAGAGGAATAAAACTGTAGGATATGCATGTACCATTATTTGATTTAAATGTTTGGTACATAGAAAAAAACCTATGAATCATGCAATCTTCATGTTATTTAATGGAATAGCACACATAATGGGATATATATTATTGTTCTTTAGATTTTACGCCACCCTTTGCACTTATTTTTCTCACCTACATTCCTAATTCTCAAGAAACAAAGGTTCCTCTACGAATTGAGCAGAATATTGGATTTTAGGCCTTTGTAGTTCTATCAGTTGGTGCTCAAGGTCTAAAGGCTAAAACACATGCAATATCTAAAATTTCCAATTCTCCTGCTCAAGTATGTAAAGGACTCGCAGGAAACAAGAATACTTAACATATGGCAATGGAATATCACATAGTATGTGATAAAATTAATATCCATAACCAAGGCAACTTTGACACGAAGTAGTAAGTTGCAAATCTATGTCTATGGTAGTACCTTAATATCCTTTTTACGTTCACATGCAGATTACAGGCAGTAATTCCGTGCATGAAAATGGAAATGAATGCACTCTAAACCTAAACCGAATCTAAAACAAACCTAAAAGGCTAAAACACACTCAAAATCCAAAATTTTCCGATTCTACAGCCCACAGATGTAAAAGGACTTGCTGGAAAACGTAGATACGTGCATAACAATGGAATGTTACATAGTATGTAATGTCCAATAAAATCAATATCCATAATCAAGGCAAGTTTGACATGCAGTTCTTACTTTGCAAATCTACATCTATGCCTAGTTTGGCTGCAGCTATACTGTAATTATTTTTTTTTACATTCACGTGAACATTACGAAACTTCAATCAGTAGTTACATGCACGAACGAGGAAACGAATACACTCTACTCCTTTTTTCAGCTCAGCCAAAATACAGTTTTTTAAAGCCCAAAAGGGTAATTAGAATGAGAGAGAAAATAACCTACACATAATCCACCTTAAAGAGACCATAAAATACCTCAGACTAAAAAACACAGATACAAGCAGCCTAGAAATCATCTGAAAGCTCTGACTAGCAAAGAAACTCCATAAGAGGATCAAAGTTCATTAACAAAACAAACTGGACACAATAAGAGAACAAAAGTACAAAACCTATACAGATAAATAAATAATATATACATACAAATGCATCCACACATAAACTAAAACTATTAATTTTACTAATCAAAATAAATAAATTTCATTGTTATTCAATAATAAAGTGAATCATTAGTAACAAAGTTTTCATGTTATTGATTCCTTGGTATAGTCGCGATTTGCGAGGGACATATATATGAAATCCTAGACTGATAACAAGATAAATTATTTTTGGTATTACATAGATCAATGGAATCGGTTACTATATCCTAAATTGAAGTTCTTTTGGACTGCTGTAAATGGAAATATAGCACAGGTAAGCATTAGTACCGACTTACAAATGGCAAAGTTAACGGTTACTAATGTCCTAGAGGCGCGAAAAGAGAACTGAATTTTAAAACAATGTAGCATACCTTTCCAAGAATAAGATAAAACCGTTACGGTGTAATAACGTTCCAAAGGCGCGAAAGAAAGAAAACTGAATTATAGAACCATTTTAAACCCTAGGAAGAAAGCATACCTTTCTGAGAAGAAGAAACAGTCACCATTTTCCAATTTGACATACCAGTACCAGAATAATTTTGTTTCCTAGAACATCAAAATTAAGCTCGTTAATCTATGATGTTAAGATAAAACTCATGGTATTTTATACGTTTAAATGCTAAGAATATAGATAATTTTCTTCAAATTATCAGTTCTAGTTTTGATTAAAAATTAGCAGAAGGGGAATCAAAAATTTACTTCTGAGAATTGGAGAATCCACCGCCTAGCTTGATGACCTATAAACAAAATCATAACAACAAAAAATAAATAAATAAAATATTTCTTAACCCTTTAGTAAACTTATTGGTATAAGATCATAGATCAACATTTCATGGAAGATGGAACTCCAAGAAACTCAAAATCGTGAAGCACAAAAAATGATGATGAGGGATCATAAGGGAAAAGATATGAAATGAATAGAAATGACAAAAGAAAACCATTTTTTTAGTTGGATTTTCTTGTTCCAAAAGACCCTTGTTCTTTCCATTTCCTGACTGAAGCTCTGTGCCAGTTTCTTCTTTAATGACAGGTACGGTGCTGGAATGCGCATCATATACACGGGGATGAACAGTGCGGTAATTAGCACCATGTGATGAAGATCCAAGCAGTTTGTGTGCTCTTGCCATTATATCCTTCCAGTCAGTGTGCACATAATCTTGTGATGCTCCTCTAGCTGTTCTTTCAGCAGGTACTGGAAAGAGGATACTTCCATCTCTTCTTGTTGAGATGGAGCTTCTGAAGAAGAAGCAACTGAACTTGGTACTATGGGAAAAGAGGGAAATCTCTTTCTAATCCTCATATTTTTATTTCAGACAGAAAGGGAAAAGAGTTTTTATTTAAACTAATTTTGAGTTCTTGCAATAATTTTTTTAGTTTATATGCTGCCACTAAGGTAAGTAAAGCCAACTAAGGAATTTAATATAAGAATGGGAGAGCATTTTTCTGTCACTCTTCATCTTTCTCCCGATCTTGACATCTGTTAATCATCTGTAGTTATAGCTCATTTTTTTTTTTTGATGTCAAGCTCATTTAATCATATATGATGAGTAAGTGTTGCTATAAAGTCACAGTGCATGAAATTATCAATTGCAAACTACTTTCATTTTTCTCTCGGTTCTTACATTATGATCACGGTTTATTAATTCCAGCACTAGAAATATTTCACAATGCAAAGGACCTCGTCTCGTCATCTATACCTATGAGACGACATTTGAATTGGTTCAAATGTCCAAAATTCGGAAGCATTCAGTCATTACAAGAAAAATTATGCTCAAATATGTATGCAAATGTTCTGGTCCAAAGGACTAAGAGTAAGTAAAGATAGAGAAAAGAGTGGGGCTTAGGAATCAGCTTATGGCCTTCATGACCTACATGTGTTTGGTGATTCCAGGTTCACAATTCAATTAGGAGTTACAAACGGTAGAATTCAGTTTTAAAATAATCAATATTCAAATTCAAAAAAAAAAAAGTTCCACACTAATTATCTGTCAAAATAAATTTCTTTTGTTATTTACCTCTATCTGCCAAGTCTAAATATAGAAAAAATATCTGAAAAGGTGTATATCATTAATGAAATAACAATAATTCATGGTATAAGGAAACTTCATAACTACGGTTACAGGCACAGAAAAACCTTCCATCCTTGGAACAACCGATTAGCATCATTGGCTATGCATACATAGAATAAGTGAATAACCTTTTTATTACCAAAACTGTTAAAATTTAAATAAGTTGACAAAATGTTAGGACTGGTTACTATGAATTTTCTTACCAGAAGATCACCGAGTTCACAATGATGTGACGTATGTACTATGTGAATCATACCTGTCCTGAAATTAAAGATAGAATCCATTTATCAATCATTTTATAAAGCAAAGCAAAACAAACAGTAACATATAATAGAGCCCGTGTTCTCAAAAGGTTTAATTATTTCCTTAGATGTTTCAATATATACCATATTTTAAAATAACTAATTTCTGCGAGACTTGAAGTCTGTTAGAAACTGCTCAAAACATTTAATAAATCAGGCACTGATATATTACCATGTCTTTCTTTCTTTATAGATTTTTTGTTTTCTAAAACTTCATAACAAATTTGGCTGATCACCCATCAATATATTAACATGTGCTCTGCTCGTATTAATGCCTTAAAAAGAAGTAGCTAGAAGCAACATTATCCATTTTAATTCAGGCATCATGGAGTTGTCTTCTTTAAACAAATTTTGGCTTTTGGATTGCTCATTATGATGCAAGAATCATAAAGAGAAAAGGGATTATTGAAGTGAATATATCGAGATGCATCATGCATGCCTATCATCAACCACTATAAATTGAACTCTCAAATAGCATTTAAACCAAATTCAATCCTATTATTTCTATCCCAAATATAGACTGCAATGTTTGATTCAGAAACTAACAGTTAAATGAGTCGGTTTCCTTTGCTTACGCAGAAGCAACGGTGTATAACAAGATCAAAGGTGCAATCCAACTAAAATAAGTTGCCAACTCCATTTCAACGATTTGAAGTAAAAAGGGAAAAATGATTTGATCATGATGAGCACATGTTAATAACAAAGCATTAATTGGAAAGACTATATATAAAAATTCAACTTCATTGACTACTAGCCAAGGTATAACGAATATATAAAGGATTTTTAGGTAATTTACCCATGGTGATCGGTGGACACACTAGTTCCATCGCCTTCATCAGCTTCGTTACCCTAAAATTAAAAATTTGAACCCATGGGTGCTCAACTCTGCTGATCGCACTTCATTAATTACTCTCTGCAAATATACTAAGAAGAGAGGGAGAACAATGGTAAACATGTTTCATCAGCTCCAGTCTCAACAAATGAAAAACAAATAAGAGACTATCGAAAAACAAAAAAAGACTGATTACTTTGATGAATTGATTTCTCCAGCATGCAACAGCGTTTCCCTTGTTTCTAGTACCGGTCTGATTCTCATGGTGATCACCTTCATCGACTCCTTATCATGCGGTCGTTGTTCAGCAGCTTGACATGCAGCAGGGTTTTTGGTCAAGGAAGACGAAATGGAGGGCGACTGTTGAGAATTCTCATTTCTGAAATAGCCCGACATTAGGATCAAACAAATTAAACAATTTAACGAGGCTTAATACATTTCCAATGGTTAACTACACCTGAAAATAGGACTCGGTGCTTTAAAGAATTTTTTGATCTGTTATACTTTTAAATTTTTTAATTATAAATAATCCAACCCCGTTGTCTCTCTCTCCCACCGCCGAAATGAATACCCTCGGTTGAATTTTGTTCGAAGCAGAATAAGAAACTCAATAGATGCAACCGTGTAACACAGGGACGGTTGTGATATTCGAAATCGCCGAAAAACATAAACTTAATATCTAACATGGATATCTTCGTAGTGATTTTCACGACAATCGTCATAATTTTATGATAGGTGAAAGATTGAATTTTGATCGCGACGGTTAGATGGTTCTGATGAATAGGGATGTAAATAATTTGAGTCGAATTTAAGTATTGTTAAGTTCGACTCGATTCAAAAAATTTAGCATGAAACTCGACTTGACTCGAAAACTCGCGAGGCTAAAATTTTTAAACTCTGACTTGAACTCAAAAATATGAATTGAAACTTGTAAAAGCTTGAAAAGAAAAAAAAATCTTAAATTTAATTTGATTAAAACCTCAAACTCAAATTCGAACATAAACTTTAAATAAATAAAAACCTTATAATATATTTTTAAAAAAATCAATACATAAATATTAATATTATTAATAATTTAATTTTTTTAAATAAAATATTAATATATATTATATTTTCAAGTTGTTTGTGAAAGATTCAACACAGTGACTAATTGATGGCAAAAGATATAAAATTTAAAGATTTTTTAGTTTTTTTTTTAATTTATAATGTTAAGTTTTTAAAATAAAATAATTTTATAAATTTTATATGCGTAACATGTGTTAAATAACAATTAAATTTAACGGCGGTTACAATTTAAATACCTAAAAATATAATGTTAATAATATTAGACATATATTATTAATAAAATATTTTTTAAATACCAAAGATATAATTTAACTATTTAAAAAATAAATTAAGTCATTTAATGAGCACAGAAATGAGCAATTTCTGAAATCTAACTCTACGATGTTTACAAGTATTTGAACGAATCTACTATTTTATACACAAATTAGTTACATTTTTTCGTATCTGATTTTAGATTTAGATTTAGATTTTAGTTTAACATACAAATAAAATAATTGGGTGACCTCTCCTTTTAAGGATTTTAATTCGAGCATATTATCCATAATTAAAAAAAATTATGAACAAATATTATTTTATATTTATTTTAGATAACTTTAAAAATTAACATAATATTTGATACACAATTAATGTAAATGATTTAAATTTGAACTTACTCTTTTTTGTTGTTGCAATTTATGTTATTTTCTATAAATTAAATCAATTTTTTCTTTTGTTTGTTTAGTCGACGACGACAATGGTTTTAATGTTGATTGCAGACCGTCGGTTGTCTTTTTTCCTTTTTTTTAAAGAATAATTATGTTTTTATGAGATGTTTATCTCTGTCTTTGTGGCAATTTATCTATGACTTTTTGTAGTTTTCGGTTTTTTGTCATTGTTTTCGTTATCTTTTTTTCAGGGTTGGATTTGAAATCGTCACGACTGATCAATATGACATTTATATGTTATCATATTGATGTTTTCTGATTTGGACCCTCTGATTGGTTTGGATACGCATTTTACATTTTGCGGATAGTTTTCTCACGTTGCTTGACTCTGATTTACGATTTGTCGGTTGTATTTTAATAACTCCATCCCCTTTTGTGGTTCGTTTGTCGATGCAGTCAGATTTGTTCGTATCTTTATTTTGTTCAAGTATTTTGGTTAAGTTTTTTAACCTTTTCCTTTCTTGGTCATTGTGTGATATAGATGGCTAGTTTTTGTATAAGTGGTTATAGGAAAATGTCCTAATTATAAATTTACTTTACGTTTACAGTTATACTTATAAAATTTCATTGTAATTCTGGATATTTTATACTTTAATAAAACTAACGACTTTCTATATAAAAAATATGAACTTAAAACCATTATCATTCCAATTTCACTTTAAATGAGTTGTTTTTCTTTGGGATAGAGGTCGGAATTTTAGGTCTTACGTAATGGTGTAAATGAATAGAGTGTTTGACGAATTGTCTGTGAATCGTACGTATAATATATGTTTATGCTTGTTTATTAAGTTAATAAATGAGTATGAACATAATTTTTATGTTCATTTAGTAAATGAACGAATAAAGATGTGTTCTGTAGACACCCATTTTCATAAAAGATAGAACTAGCAAGAGTTTCTCTCCTATGAGGACTCTTCCACCACCATATCTTTTAAAGCAACAACCACACCAATAAACGTGCAACAACCGAGCAAGGAGTCTAGTTGCATTAGGATTCTATTGTTAATAGGATTCTAAAAATAGTTAGTTTTTTCACTATAAATACATGTAATCCTCCCCATTTGTAACACACGATTTACATACAAAATACAGAGGACAGCACGAAAAATACAAAGACAAAGCTATTGTAAACGATTCGAAAAGTAAATAAAAGGT